TTGTTTGAGACCAACATGTGGGTAGGTATTACATTAAAAACACAAACGTTTGGAATAATTACAATGTATATATTTTTTTTAAGAGGTCTCTTCTGCTCACCAAGGCTGCATTTATTCGATCAAAAATACAGTAAAAATTATGAAATATTATTACAATATTAAACAGCTGTTAAACTGCATTTTCAGCATCATTACTCCAGTCTTCAGTGTCAGTGTTTGTTACAGAAGATTTCTATTTCAAATAAATGCTGTTCTTTTGAACTTTCTGTTCATCTGTGAATCCTGAAAAATTAAATGTATCACAGTATCCACAAAAATATTAAGTGTTTTCAACATTGATAATAATCAGAAATCTTTCTAATAATCAGCATATTATACTGATTTCTGAAGATCATGTGACACTGAAGACTGGAGGAATGATGCTGAAAATACAGCTGCGCATCACAGAAATACATTACACTTTAACAGAGATTCACTTAGATATCAGCTGTTTGAAATTGTAATAATATTTCATAATTTTTACTGTATTTTGATTAAATAAATGCAGCCTTGGTGAGCAGAAGAGACTTCTTTCAAAATCATACAATCATAACTTTTGACTGGTAGTGTATGCATGGGTTTTTTGTTTTAGATGAATGTAGAAGGGAAAGTGTGAAAGGTGAAAATGAGCATCTTCTAACGCAGACTGTATTCTCTCTCTCTCGCTCTCTCTCTCTCTCTCTCTCTCTCTCTCTCTCTCTCTCTCTCTCTCTCTCTCTCTGTCTCTCTCTCTCTCTCTGTCTCTCACACGTGTTCCTGCAGGAGTTGGGCTAATTTGGGCTCCTCTTTATTTGAGCACAAGCAGTCAGAAGGGCTGAGAGCGAGCGAGCGAACGGCTGGACCGCACAGGCTTCCCCTTTGATCCAGCATAGCAGATGTGAAGAACTGACATCGCATCACCGGACAGAGGAGCCCGTCTGCCATCGTGTATAAAGGCCTCAGTCATCAGATCAGCAGCTAAACATCAGTCAGAGATAAAGAGGCCTGATGTTAGTCTTAGAATCATCTCACCACCGCTGCTAACAAATATACAAAATCAATCTCTGAACAACGCATGCCATCCAGAATAGAATTCGCTGCTGTCTGCAATATCCTGATAAGATAGCATAAATATTTATATAGAGCCAAAGGAAATGAAAACTAATTTGCATTCAGCTTTGTTATCATATGACGTGCTGTTCTAAAACTGCATCGTATGAATACATTTCATTCCCTGCACTAGAGAAATTGTAAACAGAATTTTTTTATAATTGGATGGTTAACATGAAATATGAAAAACGTTCATAAGAAGCTGTCATGCCCTGTGATGTGACATGCTATACTCTAATCTTGAACATTTCTCCCATATACTGAATAATAATAATAATAATTTACAAGTATGAATATTCAATAGCATCATAAAAGGTTCATGCAAAATAATAATAATAATAATTTACGAGTATAAATATTCAATGACATAATAAAAGGTGCATGTACATAATAATAATAATAATAATAATTTACAAGGATAAATGTTAAATGTTTAGTGATGGTATTATTAGGTGCATGCACAATGATACTAATACTAATACTAATAATATGCATGCAGCTTTTATGACAAAATAGAGCAACTCCATGGAATATTTTTACTTGTAAAAATGTAGTTGTCATTGCAGAATCATTCATAACTAGTGAAGGCAAAATAGTGATTAAAATTATGACAAACGACATGCAAGACCTAAAATATACCCTTTCCTTATTCATATAATTATTTTTATCCAAAATATAGATTTTTATGGTTTTTAAGAAAAGTCCATGCATGCATTGCATGATATGCATTTTTTTAGAGAAACCTACTTTTGACATAATGAGAACCCAACACATCTCTGCAAGACAGAAATAAAAATGTTAATTCCTTCTCCATATGGCTAATTACACTCAGTCTCTCATGGCCAATTACACTGTCAACTTTGGTTTATACATTAAGTGCAAATGAAGCTGGTGGAAAAGCTGTGTTTACAGACGGGTTTGCACTGCCGGGATGCTGCATTATATAACATCTAAATCCCAATAATGTAAATATCACCAGGCTCGTTCACAAAC